AAAAAAAAAAAAAAAAAAAAAAAAGATGAAACCTTTCCACTTTCTTTAATTGAAGAAGAATCTCGATCGTATACAAGGTAAAGATGAAATGACCTGGACCTTCAATAATACGAAGAGACGAGATTTGAAGCAACAATTTGAAATGCTAGTGATTTGTACCGAATACAAACAATATGGGTAAGTAATTTATAGATTTTTGGGTTTACTCATATATAATTCATACTTCTGTATTTTTCTTTGGATTGCTTTATGAATATTAATGTCATTAGTAATTTTTTTTTGTAATATCTATTTTTCTTCCACTTGGTAGAAACACGGATTATAGGGTATAAAGTCCTTAAGTTTGGTTTGTAGACCTGCTTTAGGTTCTAATTAATTTCATCAATTTGTGTTCTTCGTCAAGCAATCTTTAAGGTATGCCCTTCAATCCTATTTATTTTTTGATGTAAACAGATGAATTTGAAGTCTTGGATGAACAAATTTGGTTTAGTTTTACTATCGGTCGATTCAATCTTGGTTGTCAGTTTTCGTCTTTCTTGAAATATATCAATGTTGAATTATAGATCTTGTTTTATCATTAGATTAATTTTATTTTGAATTTTCGGAGAGAGTTGAATTATATTAGATATAGGATTTAGTACAAGGAATTAGAAAAAAATTATGATCTGAATATTATGATTTGAATTGTATTGTTATGTTGTAGGGATTTTAGTTATGATAATCTTGATAAGAGAGAAGTTCAACTTATTAGTAACTTGGTTCTTATAATCTAGCAATTCAGGGTTATGGTTCAAATACATGTACCGGGAAATTTGTAATTTTGCTTGGAGTTAATGTCTTTTTTACTTGTTTTGGGTTAAAAGTTGGTTAAGTAATTTTTTTCTTTGGGAGATAGAAACTAAAGTTGATTCATATGAGACCAACTTTGCTACTATTAATAAGTAACCTGCATACATACACGTATGAAATATTCGTATTAGATAATGATGTCGCAAAAGTTCATACTGTTACCTGCATATGGAAGACCAAAATGTAGCAGGCTCTTCATCAGAAACATAGAAGAGGCTAAGCCAATCTTTCTACTCCAGAGTGTTCTCTGCTTGAGAAGAAAAGATTGTCCCATAACTTACGAGTTGCTTTCTTCATATTATCCAACACTATCATTTGTATCCCAGGATTGTTAAACTAAAATAAACCTTCTTTTCTCTACTGCATTGCATATCATAGCTACCACCACTTGATCATTTGGGACAGAAATGGACTCCTAAGCTAGTACAGTGCTGGTAGAGATTTGTTCTCGAGGAGGTTTAACAAATATATTACTTAGGTAATGTTTGAAGAACTATATGAGAAAGACCCTTAACTCCATGACCTTCATCTACTACAAAATTTTTTATATCCCTCTAGTCAGATTGAATTCTTAAAAGTTTTGTAGCCATATGTGTTACAATAAGCATGATACTTTTCAATTCTGAATTTCTAGCCTGTCTTGCAATTAATATTTTCTTATTTTGTGATGGATGATGATTAGAGCTTTCATTGTGAATTTAGGCCAAACGCTGTATTTTCTAGTAGAAGTTTATCTTTTGGGAAACTAATTGAAGCAGTTGAAATGTTGTGGGATTTAATTAATATTTTCTTATTTTGTGATGGATGTTGATTAGAGCTTTCATTGTGAATTTAGGCCAAATGCAGTATTTTCTAGTAGAAATTTATCTTTTGGGAAACCAATTGAAGTGGTTGGAATGTCGTGGGATTTAGATGGTTGGAAGTGGAAAGTTGATTTATTGGTTTTTGAAAGTGAGGGAATTAATGGATATGACAAAATTATTTTGCAACGGTTAAATTGCCTGGATTTTGGAATAGTTAAATTTCCTCGTTTTTGGAATAATCAATGGAAATTATTCCCCCCTGGCATGACCTTCATTCTATGTGGTGGTCAAGTATGTTATTTGTTAGAGGGACTTTACTATATTTCACCCATATATCAGAGTATGTATTCATGCTTTACTCAATCATTCATCTTGCTTTAGCCTCATGATTCCATATTCATTGTACTCCTAATTTTGTTATGTAATATCTATATTTTTTTTCTTTGCAAAAAGCATCATCAATGGATATAATGAACCAATTGAACAAAAAAATAGTCATCGTACCAGTTCATGTCCTTACTCATACATAGTGAAAGAGGTGATAAAGGTAGTGAATGTATATGTTATCAATATGTGCTTTATTAAATAATTTTGCTGATAATTTGAATGTAGTGTTTGAAACATAATTGCTAACTATTAGGACGGTACGAGGTTTTCTAAAGTCGACACCTTTGAGTTCGCTTATGAAGGAAATAATAAATGTCATACTTATAATGCAGCTAAGGCTCAACACGTAAAAAAGACTCAACGCTATAACTTTTATATTGCTTATCATGTGTTATATTTCTAGTGTATAATTGTATTATATCTCTTACATATTTTAGTTATATAGACTATTTTATATCACCTATGGGTTGTGTTTGTAGGATAAGATGCTTGTTAAAGAGTATGAACATCTTGTAGAGAAGGTAAAGGAGTAGTAGATTCCCGAAGATATCCCTTTCAAGGAATACCTATAGATAATCCTACTGTTGGACTTAATATCATGATGTCCGTTCTAAGTACAAAGCCCAGACATCAAATTCGTGGGTTGAAAGATGGTCGCCTTTGAGATATTAAAACATCTTCTTCCAATGTACGCAATATGGAGGATTTAGAAGCAGAACGTGCTGCTCAAAAGGTTGAATATGCAGCTCAAGTGAAAATGGAGCAAAGGATACAAAACAAGTTGAAGGTTGTTAAGCAACAATTCAATTCTATTTTGCAATCTTGGCATCACTCTATGCACCAGTTACGTGGTAAAGTACCTGGCTTTGTGGTAACATCATTTACACTACTGTCAACAGAGATTAATACTACTGAGGAAAATGATGCTATTCATGAGGACAAAGAGAACAACTTTGAAGAGGATCAGTTGAATACCTAATTTACGAGGATGAACAGTAGTGTTTTTTAGATGCATAATAATAGATATAGAGGATGTTTGCTATATTATTTTTATGTCCAGGTATAACCATACTTAGTGAATGATTTTTATTTATATTTTTTTGAAATATTTTGGATTCAATATTACATTGATTGGCATTACATGTCTTAATTAAATTATTGGTTTTTTTTTTTTTTGCATCTTTATATTATTTTGAATGTGGTTAAAAAATTACTATAATATAAAAACATATATAAAATAATTTAATTTCTCCCTACGAATTCTTTCATAATAGCCTACAAATATGTTTTTCTATGAAAAATTATTTGTAGAGAAAAACAGGGTTTAGCCTACAAAATAATATGTATCATGTAGTCACAAGTTTTTAATTATTGGAAAAATGTATATATTTTAGCCCACAAATATTCCTTCCACACAAAATAATTTTAGTAGGGAAAAGCAAGTTTTGGCCCACAACATAATTTGTAGGGAAAAGTGATATCGTTTCGTAGGCAAACTTAGCTTTAGCAGGCAAATGATTTTGTCGAGAGAAAACTTACCCGACGTATTGTATTCGTCTCCAAAGGGTTCGTAGGGAAAAACATTTTCCCACAAATTTCAAAATTTTGTAGGCTAAAGTCTATCTCCTTGATGTATGCCCCACAAATGTCCCCACAAATCATTTTTGATTTTTTCCCACAAATAAAAACCTTTCCCTACAAATAAATTTTGTAGGGAAAACATAAAACTCATGTAGTGGATATACCTCTTATACTATATAATTCATCAAACTTTACAAGAAAATAGAGGCAATTCAATCATTCTTTTTGGAGAATTAAGAGCCAAACACAAGATTTCATTCAAATGATGATCCAACCTTAATTTTTTGGGCAGAAAAGAAAAGTCTCAACTAGAGATTAATCAAGAAATAATTGAAGTGATTCAAGATATAATGATACATCTTCTTCTTAATTTATCAAAAATCAAGGTGATGTTCTATAAATCAAATATGATTTCTTTTAATTTTGCTATAGTTGGCTAGATTTCTATCTACTAAGATATAGATAAACCCTTATAATAAAGTTTTAATATAGTTTCAATATTATGACATCTAATATGTGTTTATTCTTAAATAATTGTTATATAATTTAATGTCTTTCGGTTACTTGATCACTAATTGGATGGAATTAAGAATTTTACTGTTACTGAGAGAGACAATAGTATAGATAGCATTATTAACAAATGTTGTGAGATCTTATTGAGGATAGAAATATATCTCTATACTTTGCATGATTTCAATAGATATTCTAATGTTTTTAATACATGTTTTAATATTAGCATCGTTCATAAAAAATTATGAAGGTCACATGAGATGATATATTTAATTCTACTCTAGAAAGATTATTAAATAATTTAACGTTGATCAACAAGAATACTTACATGTTGTCATGGTCTTGAATTGCATTAAAATTGATTAATAAGGGGGATTCAAAGTCCCGGTAATCATTTCACATAGTTTTACAAAAATAATCATAATTTGTTCATTAGAATATTTAGTTTAAATAATTAATCAGTAAAAATTATTCATAAAAATTTAGTTATTCGATTAGAGTAAAAATTAATTGAAACTAGATTACAAACATAATTTTCATGGGAACGATGCTTTATTTATCATTGTATTATAGTTTACGATACTGTGCACTTGCCAGACTTTGTAGATCAATCTTCCTAAGATTGTAGACATATCTTGATTTTCTTCTACATCAGAGATGACAGAAATCAACTAGAAAATAAAATCTCAAGCTTCGACAAGCATACCCTCAACCGTTCCATAAGGATGCTTGATTTATTTCTCGGCTCCCCAATACCTAATTTCTTGTAAATATACAATGGCACTAGATTAATACTTGCTCCAAAATCAATTAAAACATTTATACTATGTGAATTTCCTATAGAGCAAAATAATGCAAAACTCCTTGGATTTTTTTAGTTTATGAGAGAGCGTAGGTCGTAAGATTCCACTGCATTTTTAGATAATGTCATTAGTTCATATTGTGGCAGCTTCTTCTTCTTAGTCAACATCTGCTTCAAAAATTTTGCATAATTTAAAATTTGAAGGATTGCTTCAATGAAAGGAATATCGATTTGAATTTGCTTAAGGCGTCCAAGAACTTCTTGAACTGCTTTTTCCAACTTATTGTTCTATAGACAGCGGTATATGTGAATTTGCAGGAATGGTTATCTTAACTTGTGGACTGTCTTCAAGTTGTTCCCGATTGACTTTTGTTAATTTTCCAGACTAAACCATTTGTTTCTTACCCACGGTAGGTACCTGATTATCCTCAGTCTCTTTCTTTTTTATGCTGAACTCCACTTCTTGTTATGATGGCCTAAACCTGTTTCTTCTTTAGCTGCTTTCAAAGACTTTGAAAGAATAGGATATGCAGCACATAAGCTCATGCAGGCTCAACAAATTTGATTGATGGTACGTAACTGTTCATCTTCCATAGCTTTAATAGCTAGCACCTATTCCCGTGGGTTCTCTGTGTAGCTTGGCAGGGTATCCTTTTATTCTATTGGACAACATAGCTACTATCTATCCCACTTGACTTTTCAAATTTTGGAAAGAAATTTACTGATTTTGGAGTACTGTCTTAATCTCTATGAGTACTGAGCCATTAGATCCTCTAAAGATGACTTCTCTCTTATTGTTGGGATGTCAACAAGCCGAACCAAGTCAGCTTGTAAGTCGAAACTTGAAGATTGGGCTCGGCACGAGTAAAACTAAGTTGAGCTTTTTTTGCCAGAGTCAAGTTGAGTAAAAGCTTTGCAAATAATCGAGGTTCTACCCGAGCTTTCAACTCAAGCCTTACCGAGCTAAGTCGAGTCGGCTGGATTTTTTTGTTTTTCTATAACACATAGGCATCTATGTGTTTCATATTTAAAGGCAGCTAGGCAGCACACAGCTGCCTTTTAACAGGCAATTGTGTGTTGTCTTTAAAAAGGCAGCGTTCAGCCGCATGTTAAGGCTAACATGCAACTGCACGCTACACTTTTTAAAGGCAGTTGTGTGCTGCCTATTTAAAGACAGCTACAACTACCTTTTTTTACATGAGTCGGCCCGACAAAGTTATACGGGCTAGCTCAGGCTCGGCTCGATGCCCCAAAATGGTGCTACAACTTCCTTTTTTAAAGCCAGTTGTGAGCTGCCTATTTAAAGATAGCTACAGCTACCTTTTTTCACATGAGCTGATCCGACGAGCCATAAGACCAGCTTGAGCTTTCTTCAAGCCAAGCCACGAGCGATCCTAGTCGACAAGTCAAATTTCCATCCCTACATTTTGCTGAAATCTTGGTGGGTTATCCTAAACCTGATTTTCTTGACCTTGATTATTAGCCCATGAGAAGAGTAGATGATTTTTTTTTTATTTTTCAACTAGGATTATATGTGTTGGGGTAAGGGTAGTTTGTTGCCTTTGAAAGTCTTGCACATATTGTACCTCTTCAGACTTATATGTATGAATGAAAACCTGGAATTAACTTACAATAGTATGATTTGCACCACATCCCTAATAGACTAGTGTAGAAACTTCTACCAAGTGTACTATCCGATTGAGGTTGTCCCACTTCTTTGTCAATAACCCCCATTTGGGCTGTTAAAGTTATTATTTCATCAATATTATACATTCCTACAGTTTTCCTATGAGTTTCTCTATCAAATGGCCGCATAGACTATTTTCTGCTATTTTTCATATAGCTTATATGCTGTATATAGGTAGATTTATTACTGATCCTCATGCTAAAGCATCGACAATGTTATAGTATTCAAGATGCAAGCCTGAACAGAAAATGTAGACTTAGGTCTAATTAGGAATATCAAGATTAATACACTTTTTGAAATAGTTGTTGAATCTTTTACATGCATCTGGATAACTTTCATAATCCTTTTGGTTGAAAGTATGTATCTCATTCTTGATTTTATAAACTCGAGATGGTGGGGGAAGAATTTCATTGTAAATTTTCACACCATACCATTCCAAGAAACAATACTCTTAATAGGTAAAAAATGTAGCCAATCTTTTACAATATCTTTCAAAATATGAGGAGATGTTCGCTTTCAAAAGGCATTGACAGATATTCTTTCATGCCTAATGATCTCACAAAGCATCATCAAAGCTTGAATGTGCTCATGTGGATTCTCAGTTGCATTCTAGAAGAACCTGATGTCTTGATGATTATAGAATAGATGGATGAGATCTGGTCGATGATGGTAATTAGCTTGCTCAGAAGGAGGATAAATAATAGCCGGCTGCAAGGGAGCTGAAAGGGGAATAACAAAGTCCAATAATAATACTTCACCATCATTGGCAGCTACTCTTGTTACAACTAGCTATGCTAGTTGTTCTGGTATTAATTGAATTTGATTTTCATTTTCATTTTCATTTTCATTTTTTGCCACTTCTTTTTCTCTTTATCTGGCTCTCTGTTGTCTTTTTTTTTTCCTCTAAAAATTCTTTCAATTTTGGGATTCAGCGGTAAGAGCTCAATTTCTTCAGAATCTTGCATAAATCGCTAGATAGCACCTGAGAAGATAAACAAACAAAAGAGAGGTCAGTTATGTGATTAATAGCCAAACCCAACTAAAAAGAATTTTGAATACAATATAAAATAGTAAACTCAAACTAAACACTTTATTCCTTAAAAATGGCATCAATAATTTGTTCATATAGATTCTAGAAGCATACAAGATCGTTGATGAGTAATATATGATAAGTTGTGTGTCGTCCCACGAGGAATAAATTTCAATCAAAGTGTAATAGTGTCTTATCATATTCAAACTATGTGATTTAATTATTCTAAATTATTTTATCTATTATGTAAAAATGTTAGTATGTAAATTTATATGGAAATATTGTATAGGATTTATGAATCCACCTATTGTTATCTATTTTCAATTCTAAACTATGTAATTTTATTTTATTCATGCATTTATGACAATCGATAATTCTATCGTATTCAACTTTCTTTTCGAAGATAACTTTAGTCTGCTCTAAACACTATTCGATTCTATTCTTAATCTAAATTTATATGGATAGAATACATTCAAACGTACGATTACCAAGAAGATTGCACATGACATACATATTATTCCTAATAATTA